CACACACACACACACACACACACACACACACACACACACACACAAGTCCTGATCACCCTGTTACTTGCCCTACCCCTATCCCACAGCTATGGCGCTCAGGAGCCCTTCGACGCTATGGCTACTGTTTCTCTCTTCATCCTGGGCTGGCGTTGTCTTCTACTTCCCTTGCGCCGGCCTCATCTTCCACGTTCAGCCCAGGAGCAGTGCTCTGGCCACCAACTCGCACAGGGCAGAATGAATGAGCAGAGTGGGGCAGCCAGAATATGTAGTGTTGGCTGGTCATAGTCTGCAGCAGCGTGCATCAGTGTGTTCTCAGTTCGCCGCCTCAGATGTTGAGATTTCCTGATATGGATGGCCCAGATTTGCTGTCAGCCAATGTGTGCCTCGACCCATTGGGCCTCAGAAACTTCTGAAACAATTCAGACAGCTTCTGATGTGCATCAGATCTGCGTCCTCATTCATTCTGCCTTGTGCGAGTTGGTGGCCAGACTGCTGCTCCTGCGCTGGACGTGAAAGATGAGGCCGGCGCCAGGGAAGAAGAAGACAGCACCAGCACAGGAAATTGGGCTTGACTCCTGATTTTCCACAGGAAATTGGGCTTGACTCCTGATTTTCCTAAACTCAACTACGCTGGGGGGAACGGGTTGCCTCGTTTGACCCTTCATCCTGTACCTGTTGATGAAAGAACCTTTCTGAGACCCTTCTGGGGCAGGAGACGTGACTTTTGACCCCTGAATCTGGACTTGGACCAAAAGCTACGAGCCTGGGCTGTCTGTGCCGATTTTGAACTGAATTCTTTGCACTGGAAAGAAAACAAACAAAAAAGAATAAAAAAGACTGAAAAGCAAAGAAAAGAAAACAATGAAAAGAAAAGAAAAGGAAAGGAAGGAAAATACCAAACCACCAATGGGGTTCTTTCAGAATGAAATCATGTACTCGAAAAAGACTAATCACAGGGCTGCGGACTGTTAAGCCAACTAAACTCCTTGCCATCGTTGTGCAATGCCTGCATGATTAAACCGTTTGTGGGAGATGTCTTCCAACATAGGAAAGCAAGGACCAACAGTGACCATCGATGAGTAACCATGACCTATCTCAGATAGCAGGACTGCATGCTGGCCAGTGTTCCCAGCAAATGTTATGGCTACACTTTGTGTAGGCACTGGGCAAGGAAGGAGCCTGCACAAGCATGATGTATGAAAGGCAGGAAGGAAGTGGGAGGATTCGGAAATAGCATACAGCAACCATCATGTAGCGGAAGGAGGGGTTAGGACGGTGACAGGAGAACTTAGGAGCAGAAGGAGGGCATGCAGGATTGGAGGGGACAGAGCAAAAGGAACTACCATGTAGCAAATGCAAGGGGTTAGGGTTGAGGAGGAGATAGAACAAGTAACACAGATCACAGAGCATGAAGGACAAGGATGGAGTAAAACACATAGGATGAAGGCAAGGGGCTAGAAGGGTTGTAAATCCTCCTCTGACAAGAGCATTCAATTCAGCCAACATCAGGGCTTGGATCTCGCTGTCTAGGCCAGTAATTATGAGCGTCAGACTAATCTCTTGGGGGTACAGGGAATCCCCACCTTAACTTGGCGAGGCTGGAACAGGTTTCTTCCACAGTTTGGAAACAGTCCTAAACCACTACCATCTTCACCCCCATAGAACGCTCTGCCGGTCGTACTTGGTGCAAACAGTCTAGGTACAGCGACAATGACCATGCGTTGTATTCGGGTGAAGACAGTAGTACATGGACCCAGCCAAGTTAAGAATCTGATTGAGCCTCTCCTAAAATTTTGGAGGCTGGCGTCCCGTTGATGAATTACACCGATGGCAGGCGGCCTCCAAAAGGGGCCCACGGCCGGTGGCTGGCATGCACTGGTCCTTTAAGAAAGTCCAGCAGTCCTGGGGTTTAAAGACTTTTGAGGCAGCTTTTCTGAAGGCTATGAAGACCTGTTGAGAATTTTGATTAGGCGTGTTTTTACAAAAGGGCTACAGCGGAGGGGCTGGGGGAGGTTTGCTTTCACAGTATGGGGAATGGGGCAGTCAATTCTCCATATTGAAATAATCAGTCCTGTCGGAGGTTCTCCTAGCCATAACGATGGGAAGCATTCATGCAGACTGCATTATTTCTGGCTTGCCAACTGGATTGGCGCTCGCAAGAATAGATTGGGACCTCAGTCATTAGGGTGAAGTTAGAATCTGGGAAAAACGAAAACAAGGAACATACATAACCGGAGAGGACATCAGATAGGGGGACCGGAAGGAAGGGCAATGGCACCCCAGCTAAGCAGAGAGAAAGAGAGACAAATGGAGAGAAGAAGACAGGAGATCAACGGGCCTAGCTCAGTAGGTACCCCCATGAACTATTGAAATACAGACACAAATTTGAATGCAGATTCCATCGAAATAATTCTACATTACCAGGGGCAGGTCAGCTCAATGACAATATCTCAAGGCCATCGCACTTTAAAAAAAAGAAAAACGAGAGAGAAGAGAGGAGAGAGAAGAAAGGAAGGAGAAGAAAGGAGAGGGAAGGAGAGGAGGAGAAAGAGAGCCCCTAGTTAGGGACAAAATCTTGTCGCAATGAGATATAAGGGGAGGTAGAGGTAAAATGAGGGAGAGGAAGCTGAAAAACGAAAGAGTACCTGTCTGTGACGCTTTTGATCTGCCGTGCCATTTTTAGCGTGTGCTCTTCCGACTCTATGACATTGGGTCCAGCAAGCAGGAAGAAAGGGGTTGCAGCCTGCAATTGTCCAGCATTGGATGGTGAAAAATCTTGCCAGATTTACAAGCTGCTGGACACATGACACCAAGCTCGAGGAGGAAACTCAAGAACCTCTCCAAACTGAAGTCACTGGGAAACTTCCTGAAATATGGTCATAAACTCTGAACATCCCTCATCGACACACATGATGACACCATGCAACACATCTTCCTGCAATCTTGTGTTTTCTTAAAGGGGTAGCCCCTGACATCATTTAGTCCATCTGATTCCGTTAAGACAAGAACTCATGATCTATTTACCATTCAGCCACAATGGGCTGGGTATCTTCCTCCAATTTCCAAACATTCCTTAGGTTCCTTATCCACAGACTTAAGGCTGTTTTTACCAACCCAAAACCGTGCTGCATGCCAAAAAGAAAAATGAAGCTCCGAAAAAAACAACATTGGGCACAATTTGTTATCTTTTTGGCTGTCGGCGCCACCCATTTTCATCCGGTAGCCCTGAGCCCCGAAAGTTTCTCATATGTGCAAAGTTGAAAATCCACTCTGTTTTTGTCCTGGGTCGTGTAGTGGTGGTTCAAAGTAAAGAAGCCTGCTTCTCCCGTAATAGTTTGTGAGGCTCCACAGCTCACGAACCTTGAAAATCTTTCAAAAATGTAGCTGCTCCAGTTCCGTCATCTCAGGGACGTTATCAGATCAGACGTGTACTTCACCAGACTGTGAAAAGAATCATTGGGAAATGAGGCGCGACTCCCATCTGTTTAGTTTAGCGAACGAACATAGGTCAAGGACTAGATCGCCCTATGTTTGACACATCCTTTTCGTCCAAGGCAAGTGCCACTGCTTTCGTTTTGGCTGTGGAGCCCGATTTCCTTGTGTGGAGCACAACCCTCTGTTAGCTCAGTGGGCAGAGCACTGGTTGGAAATGTGCATAGTGAGGTCGTGGGTTCAAAACTCTGCATCCCTGTGCATGGACACCGGCAGGCGTCAACCGATGCACGGCCATTTGCACACCCCCCTTTGGGTCGCCACATGGTAACGATTACAGACATTGCCTGTACCAACCAAGGGGTTTAGTTCATGGTTGTTGTATGCTGGGGTTAGGCTATGAGGGGTTGGCCTGATGTTCTTGGTCATTGCGTTGTTACGATGATCATTGTCCCCCAGTCTAAAATAGTGCATAAACAGACTAGTTGTCATTGTATCTCAGTGGGTTTGAGCTAGGGGTTGTTCAGAAGAGGTTGAGGGTTCGAATCTGATCGAGCCAGGTCAATCATATTCAGGAGGAGTATAGATAGACAGACTCCAGTGGAGGACATCCTTGGGTTACCTCAGTAGGGCCTGTCTTAGGGGGTGGGATTGTCTGCTTCCCATATCAATAAATAGATCAGAGTAGTAGGCCTAGTTCATGACAGAAGTATGGAACGGATGGCAGCCTAATATGTAGTATTATGTACTGATGACGGAGAATAGGGCTGCTCAAACAATACAACGACCAGAGGGGTCTAGTTCATGACCGAGGGGAGGAAAAGTATGGTCGCTGCAGACTCACTAATGATAGAGGCTAGGGTCCCTCCAGATTACAACCACAATGATGAGACCAGAGAGGGGTCTAGGGCAACATCTATAGGTAGAGGACGGATGGGGGTTGTACATCAGCTCATACTACAGTCTTAACCCGAAAACAAGGTACGTACCTTGTATTCAAGTTACCTCCAAACGGGTTCTTCAAAATCGCTGTTAAATTTTCGAATAGAAGGTACCCTTGAATACAAGGTACGTACCGTGTATTTGAATACAAGGCACGTACCTGGTATTCGAGATGTGCCTTGTAACTGTCATGTAACTCTCTCTCATTCTCTCTCTCTCTCTCTCTCTCTCTCTGATGTGTGCGGTCCACGCAAGCACCTGCTTCCACACACGGGCGCTATGCTCTCTCTCTCTCTCTCTCTCACACACACACACACACACATACTCAAACACACGTAGCGTTCAAATGCATGCTGCATCGTGAGCACGCAGCACAGTCAATGTGTTCTTTCAAAAAAAAAAAGAAAAAAGAACTGCAGCCCCCCCATATTCGTGATATTATTACTAATGTTCTAGGCTGGGCCGCCGCCCGGCCGGTTGGGCCCGGGAGGTTCCGCCCAGCGAAACCGGGGGTCTGCGGGGGAGGGATGTCAGCGGGGGGTCTGGGGGAGGGAGTCTGGGGGATGTCAGTGCTGGTTTGTCACAGACCTTGCAGGTGTGTATGTGGAAGAAGAAGAAGAGGAGGAGGACGCGGAGGAGGAGGAGAAAGAAGAAGAAGAAGAAGGAGAGAAAGGGTGGAGTACGGCGGGAAGAAAGATTGGGCGAGAGGAAGTTGGGGGAAATGGCCACCGCGGGGGAAGGTCCAAAACACGGCCCCACGTGACATAAGACAGGGGAAAAAAAAAAAAAAAAAAAGGAAATGGTGTGGGGCTGT